ATATATATATATTGTGATTATTGAAAACGAAAAATAAATGAAAATAGTGTGAAAGTATTCATGAACCCATTAGATTTTCTTCCTATTCATGAACCCATTAGATTCTAATCAATTCATTTTCAATAATTGTTTGAAAGTGGTTGGTGAATCACACGAAGACTATTGCGGAAATTAACAATCGAAACGTCGTTGAAGTAACTTGGTTAGATTTTTTTGTTCCCCTTTTAAGTTTTTTGCTCAATTTAATTTTTCATTCCTTTTTATTTCTTCTCAGGCTGTGGTCACTTTCATACTTCAATGTAATTTAATTTCACGTTTTATTGCTTAATATAAACGATATTTTATCTATACAATCTAATTTTATCTGTTCTTCCATAGATTTTGAATTATATTAGACAAAAGAAATTCGAACTAGTGAAATTCAATAGGACTTGGTCGTGAAAATATGAATATTTTCATATTATTTCCAGATCACCGTAATATAATGTTATTTCAATTAGAATCGTAAATAATCCGTAAATATCTACATCAATAATTGATACCTAATTATTCGAATACTCCTATTCATTAATGTAATTGTTTTTCAAATTCACATTTTTTTTCTCACAGTATTCTCTACTTCGTTTCAATCAAGTGGAACCCATCTGCGAATTTCCGGCTGAAAGCAGATTTTTCAAAACATCGACTGGCTGTCGTCTATCTTTCCTGTTCGACTCTGCTGAATTAAACGCCATGAATATATGAAATACTTAATATAAATTACTGAGGTCTTGATAATAAAACCACATGACGGACCCTAGTCAGAATGGCCTAGCGAATGAACCCATGTCATTTGTTTGTGTGCTCTCAGATCAGCCGCTATAATCATTTGATGAGTGTTTTGTTAATGAAGCGGCAGAATGATTACATCATTAAGAGTTGCAGTGGCTGTTTCAGAAGACGTTGATTGATAGTTAACTGTATTGAAGTGAAGGTAAATGTTAACCCTTATTTATGTGTAGAAGTTGGTAGAATATACTAGTCACCTACAAATGTGCATTTCGGAGAGTTATTGAAGAGATGTACTCTCCAGAAAAAACTCTTTTTCATTAATCATTACCATTTTATTTACTAAATGCGGCTTCCTATCCAGACCGTTAGATGGTTGAATTCGATAGGGAGGGGATAATTTGGAACAATATTTGTACCAGTGTCTTCATCAAATAATTTTTGGATTTCTATTTCTCCATCTTTAAACAGTTTAAAGTTGATTCTCAAGTTGTTTGGAAATTTCAAATAAGACCGTTGATTCTGTCAAGATGTCGAACTTCTTCTAAAATTGACATTTTCCTATATTCGGAGGCTATACATTATTTTCGTTGAAGTGACCTGGGACTCGGGAAATATAAAGAACAAAGGCATTATGTTGCTTCCGAAAATGAGTGCTTTATGCAGTAAGATAGTACCTAAAACTCCATAGAAAAATGATCAATAGATTTTGGAAAATCACAATTATAATTTTTGAATGTCAACACCGCGTATTACAAAAACGGTGCAAAGTTTTACTGAGAAAATATTGATGAATTCTTGTTAGAAATCTTTTGTATCAATTTGATATTCCATTGGAGAAAAATCGATATTCCAGACGCTCTGGAAAAACAATCAAGTATAATTTTTAAATCTCAGTACTTGTATTTTGAAAACGATGCATTTCTTCAACCGTCTGTATGAATTTGAAAACCGCATTCGTCAACAACGGGTGTGAATTTTAAAAAAGTTATCATTTTGGGTCCTGAATATTTCTGAATAAACTATCTTCACGAAAAGTGTTCAAAACAAAACTCAATGTTCAGATAAATGATGAGCAGATAAAAAAAGCCGAAGCAGATCAAAAACTTTGAATTGCAAATATTTATTCAGAGATCACACGTTAAAATATAAGGCCTCGTTAATCCTCAGCTCCCACAAATTTTGACTCATTATAATTTTCGTATGGTATTGTTAGACTATCGCGTTCATGCCAAACTCTGGATAGATTTCATCTACCTTTAAGGAACTGAGCGCAAAATGGAAGGACTGACACGATATTGAAGTCTGCAAGTGACACAAAAACTCCTGATCTGTTCGTCAACCAACAACCCCTAGAGAGCAAACGGGAGAGGGGTGTAACTGCAAGGGAGGTGGGAGCAAAATAGGACGAGAAATTGGCATCGTTACAAGTTTTTACAAGTATTTCTCCTTCTACTACTGCTGAATATGTTTGCAACTTCTTTAAACTTCTTTTTGAACCAGTTTTTTTTTCCTGTTGATGATTCATTCTTCGAGAAACTTGATGTTGTGTTGGATGGTCCAAACAAGTATTCCTTCATTTTTTCGTTGTTATTCTTGGTTATGTGTTCCACTTTTGCTCGCCAATACGGACATTTAACGGTCAGCGATATAGGTTAGGTCAAAAGTGAGTGGATCTATTCTACCCTCCACGACCACGATATAGGACTTGCCACATATCAAAATCCGAAAAATAACCTTCAAATCATTTCAGATTAGCTCTGAAAAATAAATGATCTCAATTATTTCATTTGATGGTGTATGTCTGTATGGTATGAAACGAAAAAAAATTATAAAAGTTATATCATCTGTAATTATTAGTGAATTGAGGTAGTAATTATTGGTAAACAATTTGTAGAAGTTTTTCAACTGCGACCCATACCGAGTATAAGGTGGGTCAATCAATTATTTGTAATTTATGAATGCTGCTTAAGTTTCTTCTAGGATTACTTTTTTTCTAAATATTATGTGATCATTGGTTACTTAATATGTTTCAAAATGTACATCGTTAATAGGTACTGGTTGTAAAAAATAATATCTTTCATTTTACATCCGTCCATTTATAGAAATAATTACTACTTAATTATGATTCCATAATCAGAAAGAATGAATTCTGGTGAATGTTTCAAATTGTTCCTTTTATTTTTTGGGAAAGAAAGGTATCTACTACTCCATCTTGATACAAAAAAAAAGAAGAAGGAAACCTCCAAAGAAAGGAAGGAAGTAATCAATCTGAAAATAAGTAACTTCATACATGGATGTGTAGATCATGCAAAGAAGTAACTTTCAGACACAAACTGAAAGAAAGTCCTCCTGAAACAGCTACTTTCATATAAACATTGAATTACAGGAAAGAAAAAATACTTTCGAAACAAATACTTCTATATGAACACTGAATTATACAGAAGATACTTTCCTCTACTCAGTTTGTATTACTTTTGGGTATTTTCAAATAGGGGAAGGTAGTACAAAATAACTCCCTATGGAAAAACGGTAATGAAAAGAGTATATGCAAATGGATTGTTAAGGCAAAATTGAAAGTCTTTGAGAAATCTGAAGATATTATTCCTTCTTGGTAGGAAATTTTTGATACTTAGGTTGCGAAAATAATAAGAGAGAGAATGGAATGCTAAGACTTCAACAGTGTTACTTACTTCAACTGTCTGGGTACATTTCTGTTGTTTAATCAGATCCTTTTGTTAACTACTAAAACTGAAGGGTAAACGTGATATTTTTCAACTCAACTTTTTTCCACAGTAAGCTGTACGTGAATAGCATACATTATTCGTTGGAATCAAAGAATTTGTTAACGATGAGAAAGCAATGAGTTGATATCTTTATAAGATTCTTTCAAATTGTTTTGCTTCAATTTCTTCGCAATAATCAAGTCTATCATGTAACGGCTATCGAGAATAGATATTAGTTTAATTTGAAATCAAGTGTTACTCTGTTTCTGGAGTATTCTTCATTATTTGGTTCACTTCCACAAAGAACGTTGTTTGAATAATGAAACAGAGCCATTACTGAATGATTCGTGGAATGAGTACCTTCTACTACACACCACTTCCACTTTCCAACCTGTCTTGAAAAAAAAGGGGTTTTTCTTTTTGTTGGAAGCCTATTCCCAAAAAGGGCAAGAAAAATCTTCCATATAACTATAAACCAATCGCTTTGCTATCAGTGATATCAAAAATCATGGAGAAAGCCGTAAACCACCATATCCTTGAATATTCGGAAGGTTTTAACATCTTTTGCGATCATCAATATAGCTTTCGGAAACAAAGATCAACAGGCGACCTTCTATCGTATGTCACCCATATTTGAAATAACGAAATCGAGAAACATGGAGAATCAAGAGCTGTTGCGCTTGATATTCCAAAGGCCTTCACACTTATAAAGTGCGGGTTCCAAGTGAGCCTACGGTCTAATAGAAGACCCGCGCTTGTCAGTCGATATCCCTTCCAGAGATTCTTACTTTTCTGGCCGGAGATGATAGCAATCTTCCCATGGTTATCGCCTGGGTCTTTTCCGGGTTTACTCGGATCTTCCACTCGAGGTACCAGCGCTCGAGGTCGTCCAATGCGCGTTGCATGTAGACGATCCCGAACTTCCGACCCATGGAAGATGAGAGAAGAGCCGTGTCGTCGGCGTAGAGGGATATCTTCACATGCTCGGACCTCGGAAGGTCGCTGATGTAAAGAGATTACAGCGTGGGAGAGAGCATAACCCCCTGTGGCACTCCAGCGAGGATCTCTCTGTTGTCAGACAGAGAGCCCTACACTCTAACCTGAAATGTTCTGATGATGAATGATTGGGAAAGACCCAATCCACCGGATCAGGCCCCGAGACAGTTCGAACGCAGTTAATTCATGCAGGAGGCCTTCGTGCCAAACACGGTCGAAATGTCTAAAAGGACGACATGAACTTTTTTGTTTCGATTCATCTCCGTGATGGTATTTTCGACCAATCTCAGAGCCTGTAATTCAGTGAAGTGTTCTTTCCTGAAGCCGAATTGTTCGTCAGCATTGCTTTGCTAATGACAGCACACTCGTTCCGTCATTCCATTTATATTCCAGGACATCGGCTACGGAGGCACACCTTCATAGGCAGCAGGAGATTGCATATCTTAATGAGAATCTAGGAGTGATTTCGAATTGGGATGAAAGTAACTAGGTTCAATTCCACGCCAAAAACAGCCAGACATCAGTTTCCTCGAAGGAGATAAATGTCTCCGAACCGGATATAATGATGTCAGGTCAAACAATTCCGCTTTCTGCTTCGATAAGTTTGTTTGGGTTAAAATGGACACCAATCTGTCTTGACATAATCATGTCGATGGAATTACAAAAGCTGCTTCTCAAAAACTTGAAACACTCTTCCGAACCAGAAAACTGTACACACTTCAGCAACTTTTAATGCTTTATAAAGCTCAGATCAGACCTTCTTTGAAGTATTGTTCTCATGTATGGAGCTCTGCCCCCAAACGTATATCCAAGTTGCTGGATTCTATCCAGAAAATAGCCATCTGCCTGATTGGAGATGCGAACATCACATGCAACCTTGACAGTCTGGAACATCGAAGAAAGGTTGGAGATTTGTCTCTCTTCTATAGATACTTTCATGGGAGGTGTTGGCATATTTGATTCCACCAAGAATGGGACTGTGGCTGCTCATCGTTTTGGGGTTCAACTCAGTACACCACAAACTTTACTGTTGAAGAACTCTTTCATCTGGAAAACTGCGTTTATGTGGAATGAACTTCCGGAGAACGTTTTTCCAAATGGATTTAATCTCCAGCGATTCAAATCCAATGTAAATATCTACTTTCGCACAGGTACCGCTCTGTGAGCGCCTTATGGATTTTCCTGTAGTGCTTGTGTTTTGTCTTTAAAAAATATCTATTTTCCTTGAAATTTTTAATGACAATAATGTATGATACTCATATGACGATGATCACAATAGTAAATAATGTACTCAAAACAAATTATTTCAGGAGAGATCAGTTTTGGGTAAAAAAAGCGTTTTGACTTTCCACCTCTCCATCATGAAACAAAAATGTGGAAAATTTTCAATGAAAGAAATGACTAGGTACATTAAAAACTCTTCATAAAAATATGTATTGTTTCCACGAAAGTTTCACTCATATACCAACTACTTTCATGCGAACATTGAACTATATGAAAATAACTTTTTTCTATTCAGCAATGGTGTACTTCGGAGTTTCGGGATAAAACACTCAGCTTTATGAACTCGTCAGCATCGTTTTTGATAACAGTACAAGTCTGTGCACTCATTTCTATCGTAATATGTCGACGTTGGTCACCGAAAAAGAAAAATATGCTCTTGTCACATTGACAGTACGTATACATATTCATAGGGTTAGTTAATCCGAACCGAAACAAGAACAGTGGGAATCCAACGGAGTAAAAGTTTCATAAAAATCCTTCTTAATTTTGAATGATTCCACATTTATAACCAAACTGGGTTATATATATTTCGGTATCATTAATACCAGTTAATATCAACTGTTTCGATATTCATATTATCAATGTTATTTATTGAATGGAATTTTTGTTGCAGGTATTGCAATGTGGAAGTTATTACGATTTATCTTCGTAATAAAATTCCACTTTATATATGGAAAACTGGTTGGTGACAACATTTGCCTCACGGAAGAAAGGTAAGTTGTCTTTATTATCGAAAAGTTGCATTTTGAGTAATCTGTTACGTATACTAGTGGAAAAGTAAACAGTTATATACGTACTTATGTCTTAAGTGTTGCATGAATGTCAGAGACGGATTTCACAGGAGTTTTTCAGATGAGCTCTTCATCAAAATACAAATATATACAAATTAATTTCAGTAACGTCGAAGTGGGGAAATGAATTCATAACATGATAACTGGGTGTTATAGTTTTTTCTTCATGAATATTCCTGAACTGACAAAAATAATCCAAATAGACCGCAAGGCAAAACTCCAAAGAACCCTTTAAGCAAAATTGTTACGTCCAATATTTTTCAAATTGGAATTGGTGTCGAATGGCACCTCATTATAAAGGGCTTATCATTTCATATCCACCGCTACTTTGTTTTTGGAAATTGGTGTACTAGTGCAGAAAATACACAGTTTTGAAATGCCAGTAATGTGTTATTTGAAAAATGCAGAAATCAAATGTTTTTCACTTGGGAACTATCCGTTTAATTTAAGTAAATACTGGATATGTTTTCAATACAATAATATAGGTTTTCTTCAAGTCATTATCATTCCTTTTTGGAGCACTTGAGGGTGTCATTTCGTTTATTATATGACCCCACAAAAAACTAAAGAACTCAAGTCAGATGACCGAGAAGGTCTTCGTCTCACTAGCGACCTTGAAACCAGTTGTGGTGATAATGACGCCAATTTTGTAATAGTGTTTTTATTAAAGAATCATTTTCGATCAGTGTAGGTTAGTATTGATTACTAAAAAAACAAATTAAACCATAAAGCCAGAGACACGTGCTAAGTACAAAACGATTAGAAGCTCACTTGTAACTTTCATACAGATCACTATGTATTCAAAGTGTACGCTTCGTACTTAGACAATTTTGGGAAATTCACTAGAAATTCTCCAGCTGGCTGTTATGGAATTATTGTCTGACTTTTTGGGGTAATACTGCTCACATTTTCGAATCAGAAAAAGGTTTTACTATGTATCCTGGGAGTCAAACTTAAAGAGAGTTGTGGATAAATATTTGTTGGCTCAAGTCTCCTGAACCTTGTATTTATATGGTGTGTCTCAAATTGATCTCTACAAAGTGAAAACTGTTTACTTACAGTTTTGTCAGAAAATTTTTCTCATCTAGAAAACGTTTGCATCACCTCAAATTCTGATAACATACATCAAATTCAAATAAAAATCTTTTATCATACAAGCATAATCAAAAATAACCAATCGATGTAAACATGAAATAGCCTTAAATTTTCCAGATGGAACAATTTTTGTCTGGAAAGGTTGTTCAGTTCTCCGAAACTTTCATCAACTTTTATTTCTAATCTCTCAATTTTATCTCCGGTTGATCAAAAGAATTAAAATTTTCACGTTAGTTCAAGGTGAATATGCCTTTGATAATTTTATAGGTTAGTACAACACTATAATATTCACACCTTTTTCGACACTGAAAAAGTTATGCTTTAGTAGCAACTCAGAGTGGGTTGTTCCTATTGAAGATAAATGCCATCAGTTTTTATTCTTGGCAGTTTTGAAAATCGTCGTTGAATTGCTTCTATTTTATCTACATGATATTGATAAAAGGGGCTCCACACAACTGACGCGTACTGTAACTTTGATCTTATGAAAGCATAGAATAGAGTTTTAAAGATCGAAGTTTCTTTGAAATTACTACTGTTACGTGCAATTAATTCGTATTAACGACAGGAGGAGGTTACAACATTATCGATATGCCTATAAAATGATAGTGCCGTGTCAAATGTGATGCCAAGATCAGTAAATGTTTCTGGTCTCATCAGGAAAACATTTTCTATTGAGTAATCAAAGATCAAGATGTTCGTTTTCAAACTGTAGGACATGACCTTACATTTATCCGGATTTAGCGTTACAACTTGCCGTACGTTTGCTGAGAGGTTCACACAATCATCTATGTTCTCAACGAGGCAGTATAGTTTTAGATCATCGGCATACAAAAGGAAATATACATCTATAACGTTTGCAATATCATTAATGAAAATATCGAATAGCAACGGTCCCAGATTTGACCCTTGTGGAACACCGGAAGAAACACTATATTCTGTAGATTTTGAACCAGAATCCTTAAATCCTTGTCCTGGATTGATGTAAGTCGACAACTTTGGAGCTCATCTTCGAGACTAAAATGTCCGGAACGAAATTTTGCAAACCAAAGTTGTATCGCTCATTAACACTATTATTGCCAAATGCTTGGTTGATTTTTCGGGCTGTTTCGGCAGCGCTTTGGTTCAATTTGAATTTGTATAGAGTGCAAAATTCTCTATCGATCAGAATATACCACGACATAATAGAATGAATATTTATTGAGATATGAAGCAAAGAAAATACGTGATAATGAAACAGACGAATATTTTGAAACAACCAAAGATTGGTCATACTTCTTTTTGAAGAGATTTCATTCATATATTGAAGTGTTTTTTCTCCTTTTTTTCGGAAGTTCCCTATTCTCTATATATCAAATGGAAAGTAAAAAGCCAATTCTTTCCCAGAGTATTTGTGATGAAATCACTATATGATTCATCAGAACTGTGTGAGATTTGAGATTTTGAAGTGAATACTGCAATAAGGTTAGGATGAGTTAGACTGTTAGAGTCAGTATTTCAACAAACCTGAAATTTTATAGAAACTCAATTGATCACGTCTTGATTTTTCAGTTTCCTGGTGAACGTCACAGAAAACTATCTCCGGAATGTGACAGTTCGGAATTACAAATGGTGTTACAACGTACCGCCACGGTGCTCTTACTACACCGTCAATAGAATTAACGATACTCGAATAGTCGTAAGTACACCATTCACTCAATACTTTGCATGGTGTGTTTTTCAGATCGTAGATAAATTGATTTCTGCAATGCTATCAATTCCGTCGATAAAAAGTTTTGCCCACTTTCAACGCAAAAATGCTATTAGTTTATTTAATGTTGCGTCGGCGGCAGACTATTCATATTTGTTGTGAAATAATCTCAAATAGTATTCACTTTCAAGTTTTGAAAGGGATTTTGTAATCTTTGAAGGCGTTACATTCTATATCGGGAGTGATAGCTACTCCACTCGAGATGCTGAGATCCATTTCAGGAAATATTAATAGGACATTATGAGACGTCCTGTGTGTTCCACTATCTGCCATTGCTGTAGATCATACTGAAAGAAAATAATTTTGTGGGAGAAAAACAGATTGTGTTGTTTTGGAGATTTATCACCTTTCACAATACGAACAAATAAACATTATAATTCAGAAGTTCATTTGGGTGGGGAAAGAATAAACTTAGAATTTTGCTGCAAATGACACGTAATCGATAATTGATGGATGTAGCCGTTACTACGTGGTAGGAAACCATAATGAAGAAAAGAGAATTGGAACTTTCTATGTTTTTCACCACTTCTATTTGTAACTAACGTTACTGCAGTTTCGTCCTATAGGAACATTTTCAAACGTATACATTAAACTAACAATGATTTATTATATTATCCCTTATATAACACCACTGTAAGTAATAATAGAAGTACTTAGCTTGATTGAGTACCTGAATTTTGTTCACTAGTGACAATGTGGATATGCTAATTTGAAAACCGGTGAGTAAACCAAATGGATTTGATCATTTAACAGGTTGCACCCGCAATATTTATGCTTATGAATTTTCAAGGATTCCAAATAATTGAGTTTGCAACCCTTCCTTGTATAGTGCAGAATTTTCGTATCGTTTAGATTCGGGAACTTGTAGTTGCATGCCAAGGAATGGTTTGAAAACGTCGAATCATTTTCACCTAGTCTGAAGGACCTTTCATGTTCAGCATGCCGTTTTTGGAAATTTCGACTACATTGTCCCACATAAACACTATTAAGATTATAAACTCCAGATTTCTTCAACTTGTCAACTTTGCTGGCATTGAAAAGGAAATCAGATTACCTGGCATGTGGTCTGAATGCCACTTCCGCATTATTTTTTCTGAAGAAACCCGCAATTATCTCTGTTCTTTTACTAAAATATGTTAGAGTTACCCATTTCTTGTTTTCTGATTGTTTGATCTGGGGGTATATTGATCTGTAAGTGAATTTACGGCTTTGTTTCCTGATTAACTTCTGGATAGTATCTACGTTGAAACCAGTATTATGACCTATCTGTGTAATTATATCAATTTCCCTAGCTAGATTGTTAGCAAACAAAAGCAGTGAGAATGCTTTAGGCAACAGATGATTTAGATGATTTATTTATTTCCTGTTGACAAATATACATTGTGTAGGAGCCGTCAGTGATAAAATCTAAGGTACTACTTACAAACTAATTGGACATGTACTCTTCAATAGTATAAAAACTATGAGAACATAACAAATATTTCAAGCGATATTTGAATTCGGCTTGAGACCTGCTCTCCCTTACATTCATTGGCAAATGGTTGAATATTCGGGGAGCCATCAGATTTGGTGAGTTATAAGCCAGCTTTGTTCTGGCATATGGTACAAACAAATTATTATTTTGACGAGTATTCACATTGCGGATACATCTATTCATCAGAAAGATTTCATTGTCATTTTTAAAAACATGTAAACACGGTTCAAATATAAACAAACAATATTTAACACTTGTCTCAAATTTCTGAGCTGAAATGTTATCGAATTCAACTTCTTCATTAAAAATTCCCAATGATTATGCCAGCCTAAACATTGGTCGATATGAAGTCTCAGGAATTTGGTACTTTCGGTGCCTGTCGTTACAGAATCTCCCCTCTCATTAATCTTGCAACTGATTGGTGTATAATATTTCTGTCTGTTATGGAAACGGATCAGAACAGTTTTATCAACATTCATGAATAACTTATTTGCCGCAAACCATGAATTGTCACGGGTCTGTAATTTTTCAAGGATTGGCAACAATTTTTTTTATGGATTGGAATAATTTTTCACATTTTAAGAGGGTCGGGAAATGATCCAGTGGTAAAGGATAAATTCACCAAATAAACCAATGGCCTCATCAAGACTGGTAGACATTTTCTCAAAACAAACATTGGGACCTCATCAAAGCCGGAAGAATATTTATTTTTCAATTTTCTCTGTAAAAGGCTATATAGTTCAGTCTCCGTATAGGGGCTAAGGTATAATGAGTTCGTAGGTGATACAATATTCCTCAAGAAGAGCTCATACCCTTCATTGTTTTTATCTATCTTATTTATTATATCTACAGCAATGTCTCTGAATTAATGATTGAACATATTGGCAATCAAATTTGGTGATTCNTCTCAATTCAAACAATGCTATTGCTTAGATTGAATCAAAAGAGGTATTTATGTCTCTACGTACTCTCATTGTGATATGAGTAGATTCAACTTCTGTGACATAAAGTTGTAATGCTATGAATGAATTGGGTGTTCTTCTTGAGCTATTATCTAGATTGGTGCTATTTAAGCACCAAGACGAAACTTCGAAGTCCGCCCTTGAGTTCCATGTAAGTGGAATTTCATATCGTAACTCTTCAACTCACTTGGTTGTGAAGCTGTTCTATGAAAGTTCTGATTCAATTTTGAAACGAATGCTGACTACAAAATGAATAGAAAAAAGTGATTATATATAATTCAATGTTTATATGAGAGTAGATGTTTCGAAATGGCTTTTTCTGTTAGTTTGTATCTGAAAGTAGGTTAGGTTAGGTTAGTTAAGGTCCAAAGTGAGTGGGTCTATCCGACCCTCCACCGCAACCCGCAAGGGTTTATTATGGCTCACACCTATTCACACTCAATCAAATAAACCCAGCTTCTTAACGAAGCCGATTAGTTTGTATGGTGAGTGGTTTTTCAGGCCGGATGGTAAGAGTACGTCTCTGCCGAACTCTAAAAACCTGATTTGGTCCCCAGCGGGGTCGGCTCAAAGTATGTGCTCTGCTGTTTCATCATTTTCCAAACAGAGGCTCAGACTGTCTTCCTACAGTCCGAGTCTCTGTATATGATGATTTGAATGATGGTGACCTGTAAGAAGGCCTGTTATACATTATAGTTCATCCCTACTGTTTGGTATCAAGCTTCTAAGGGTGAATAAACGCCTTGGAGTGAGCCAATCCTGGAAGATTCTGGCAGCAGTCCATAAATCTTCTTGCCATCCAGGTGTTCAATATTTGTTTGGCAAAGCCTAAAGCGATGCCAATGACAGGTTCTGGTCCGATGAAGCTGCTTGCAGCACCCTCCTTTGCAAGGGAGTCAGCAGCCTCATTTCCTTCTAGGCCAATATGGCCAGGGATCCAGACCAGGGACTATCTGTTAAGTCTTTCTATCGAGGAGAGTTGTTTTTGGCAGTTTGCTACCAATGATACGTTGCTCAGTAGGAGCCAAGAGCTTCCAATGCCGCTTGACTGTTCGAGAATATTTTTATTGACTTGTATAGGAGATTAGATTATTCCAATGTCTCCGCACACAATTCAGTAGCGTAAATTTCCGCTTGAAATACAGTCGCATATGTTCCTAGGCAGGTTGATATCTCTGTCCTGGGTCTGCGACTGAAAACACCTTCACCAGAACCAGAAGGTGTTTTCGATCCATCTGTGAACCAACAACTATCCTAATATTTCCTTATCCCGGAGGATCTAGTCCTCTCTACTCGGGAACAGTACTTTATAAGACAGATCGTAGTTGACAGTTGGAGGCATAAAGTGAGGTCATTTCCAGAATATGATGACTTCCAGTGTCAACCAACAGTCTGTTGCACTCTGCATTAAATTAATTTGTGCAATTGGCAATGTGCACAAGTCTATATGCAGTCCATCTAGCCTCTCTTTCCAGAAAAATGCGGAAAGGGGGTAACCTGGCACCACTGATGGCCAGACAAGCCTGTCTCTGTAGGCCAGCGAGCTTCGCCTGGGCTGTAAAGCTGTAAAGTTAGATTCTTCCAATCTCTCTGCGCACAATTCAATAGCGTAAATTTCCGCTTGAAATACAGTCGCATAGATTTCCAGGCAGTTAAATATCTCTGTCCTGGGTCTGCGACTGAAAACACCTGCACCGGAACCGGAAGGTGTTTTTGATCCATCTGTGAACCAACAACTATCTGCTCTTAATATTTCCTTCTCCCGGAGGATCTCAAAGTAACTTCTATAGATCTACACATCTTTGTTGACAGTTCATCAAGTGAAGAATCAGAAAGCCAAAACTTTCTTTTCCAAAAACTGATATCTCCTAAAAATATACTCTTTCAATTCAGTAATAATTTAAAATAATTGGAAATGGCAAACAACAAAGTTTCAGATTTCCCTGAGCTCTTCAATATTCATCATCATTAAATAACAATTTTTATGAGAAAATCTGACTGGAGAATTATACTTGGACTCCTAATCAGAGACTCTCATTGAATTTTTTCAAGATTTGCCACTTAGGCTATTTAGAAAATATGAGTATTCAACACGACGGAGCTCCATCACATCGCAGGAGAATGTGCAGAGATTTCCTCAATACAACTATGCCAGGAAGGTGAATAGGAAGTCCTTTTGAATGGCTACCACGTTCACCTGACCTTCCTCTTCGAAATTTTTCGTTGTGGGGCTTCATAAAAAATAAAGTTTTAAGATCAAATATTGAAAATATTGAGGAATTGAATGATTCAATCAGGATGGCCTGCATGGCTATCACTCCACAGATGTTAGAGAACTGCAACAAGCACATTATTTCTAAAGCAAGTATTTGTTTAAGAAATGATGGAAAATAATCTGAATATTTAATGCGATATCGCGTGAGACGTAACTTAGAAAATGTAACGTGAAGCATTACGTCCTGATGTTCATTTTCTACAATTTATTATTTCGTTATAT